CAAGAAAGGGTTTCTCTGTGTAGCTTTGTGCCTTCCCTGGAACTCACTCTGTAGACCAGGCTGGCCTCAAACTCACAGAGATCCTCCTGCCTCTGCTTCCCGAGTGCTGGGATTAAAGGCGTGCGCCACCACCGCCCGGTGGAAAAGTCCTTTTTCAAGCCTTTGCTGTTTACATGGTGTTTCTTTTGAAATTCTGAGGCTTCTAGCACATTAGCCATTAATAACTGAGCAATCTCATTGTTATCTTGTGCTAGAGGACGTGGCAGACCCATATGGAATTTGATGTGTTATATATAGAGAGAATGTTCCCTATTTTTGACGATTTCCTTTAATTGTATAAATAGTGAAGTTAATTTTGTATTACCAGGAATAAATTCAGCAGTTTCAATATGTAAAATAACTCTCTCTGCTCTCAAGATTTATTGTTTTATCAATTAAGTATTCATATTTATCATCAATAGAATTAAATCTGGTTGTCCAGTTATTATTAATGGACTGAAGTTCTTGTGGTAAATTGGTGGAATCCAAAGAAAGAATCCCTCTATTGAAGTCCTGTATCAGTCCCAATAATGAAAGAATCCTTCTGTTGAAGTGCTGTATCAGTCCCATCAATGTCTCATTTTTGTTATTATTGAGCCAATTTTTCAATGATGAATCACTATGCTAATTGCTATTATGGTATATAATAGCAATTATATACCATATAGATGAATATAGATATACCATATAGATGAATCACTATGCTAATTGCTATTATGGTAAACATTATATACATCCCAGGAAGGTCATATATGTCTTGTAATACTTCATTCATAGTACAAACAAAAAGGTTTTTAAACTCCTGAGTGGTGAAATTGTCTGCCATTTTTGGAGAAATATTCGAAATTTGTAAAGAAAAATTTTATTTATTTATTAATCAGTTTAAAGTGTAAAATTATCAAGTAATTTACCTCAGATAAAATCTTTGAAAGACTGTCCTATGTGTCCAGATGTTCCAGGTGCAATTAACCAGGTTAGGCAAATGGTGGTTCATTTGATGATTTTTGGGTGTAGTACTGTTGCTTGGCCAGTAAGTGTCGCAGGTGTAGCACCAAAACAGGTCTGGTGCGCGCTGACTCAGTCTCCCTGAATGGGCTCTTGTGAATTAAACACTCACCCAGACAACTCTCACCTGGTACCCGTGAGTACTAGGCAGAGCAGATCACAACAGATGAGGAGATACACCAAATGAACAATTAAAGGTGCTGCCTCCCAGGCAGTGGTGGCGCATGCCTTTAATCCCAGCACCCAGGAGGCAGCGCCAGGCGGATCTCTGTGAGTTCGAGGCCAGCCTGGTCTACAGCGCGAGATCCAGGACAGGCACCAAAACTACACAGAGAAACCCTGTCTCGAAAAAGAAAAAGAAAAGAAAAAGTGCTGCCTGGGACACCTGCAGACACTCTGCAGGACTGGCTGCATGCATGCGCTCCATGATGGCGGCACAAAATGCCAGTCACGCGGCGGCGGCAGGAGTTTCAAAAAATGGAGTTGGCAGCAGCCACACTGAGCAGTTTTAAAAGTAAAGGAACAGTGGGCTGGTCGTCTCTAACCAGGCGAGGTCTGTTACCCGATCTGGCCACTTCCAGCGCAGACCTAGAAAGGCGCCTAACATGATACCTTTCTGTCTGCTGCGGTGCTCTATTATCCCCCCCCCCA